GTTCTAATCATTATCTGCAAAAGTCGCTTAATCACATCACATCAGCACGATCTCATATCACGAATTATTCATTGCATTTGCTATATTCGAATGCGATGCATCATTTTGATTTTCTTTTCATTCATAAGGGATAAAAAGAGCACAATCAACTTTCAAACGCGTAGTTGTCGTACAATATTCTGAAACATCACAATTTGAGCACTGATTCCAGCCAAGCGAAAATGATTGATTCTATATTTTTGAGAGCATTTGAATTCATAACTGTTCAATCGTTTTCAGAAGAGACTTTCAATAGTTACTCACTAATATCGCTTTGAAATCTCTTACGAATGGATCGTACATCANTGTTTTTGAGAGCATTTGAATTCATAACTGTTCAATCGTTTTCAGAAGAGACTTTCAATAGTTACTCACTAATATGGCTTTGAAATCTCTTATGAATGGATCGTACATCAGTGGAAACTGTGAAAATCAATAGTTTGATCGTTATATTTTCAGATTGACTTGAAACATCGACGTGACATGTTAGCAGCCACGAAGACAATTCAATACAATGTGGCTGATTGGGTGCATGTGATTACTTGGCCATGGTTCCTACTATATTTGAATACGGTGCCGTTAGTGCGCGCAAGCAAATTGGAAGAAACCATGGAACAGTTACGCACCGACATTGATCAATTTGAGAATACACTTGCTGGTAAAAAGAATGAACGCAATCAATTGGAATTGCAGTTGGAGAAGATTAACGCCGAAAAGAATCAAGTCTTGGCTGAGATTAAGAGTTCACGATCTGAGAATACTGAAGCCGAGGATCAAATCGATCGTTTGACTGCCGAAAAAGAGACAATGGAAAAGGAACTGGTTGAAGTTGAGGCGAAACTTGATGCCGAACAGAAGAAGACCGCACAAGAGAATGAAGCAGTGAAGAAACTAGCACAAACCATCGACACGATGCGAAAGAGTGCACAGGACTTCGAGATGAATAAACGTAAAACGACTGCGGATAAGATGGCAAGAGATAATCAGATTCGATCGTTGAAAGATGAGATCGCACAACAGGAACAAGCAATCGCAAAACTCAATAAAGAGCGTCAACTACAAAACGAAGAAGCCAAACGTCTCGCCGAGGAAATATCGGCTCAAGAAGAACGCACAGGCCAAGGTAACAAAACTAAATCACGACTTGAGGAAACACTTCGGGAACTGGAAGATGAATTGGAAAGAGAGAAACGCAATCGTACAGATGCAGATAAAGCGAAGCGCAAAGCCGAAGGTGAAGTACGCATAGCGCACGAGAGTTTAGAGGAGTTGGACAGTCAAAAGCGCGATGTGGATGCGCAAATAAGGAAGAAAGAGGTGCAGCTGCACGAGAGCGGTATCAAGTTGGACGATCAACAGGCGCTTTACGTACGGCTTACGAAACAGATGAAAGACGAACAAGGACGTGCGAGTGCAGT